ATAAACCTGTTTTATTAATTTAGGACTTGTGTCGCTAAAGTTTCGTCGGAAGGAAGTTACTGAAAGTTAATTAACAAACGGAGACGTAACAGATCCTTCGCCCAACACACCCATATACATATATTTTAACTTACTATATGCAATTTAAAAAAATAAGTTCTTGACAGGTTCCTTGGCTAAATATTTTTCATTTATATGTTTAAATGTTTGTTTTTATTTTCTTTCCACATCTCAAAAACAATTTTCAATGTATACGTATGAATGTTGCCAAAGTTTAAAGTATATACAAAGCAATCGTTAAATGCAAAATAATTTATGAGTAAGATTATTTTTTTTTTGTAGTAAAACTTTTGTAGTTGTATTAATAAACGATTACGTAATAAGTTCTTCCAAAAGAGCTGCTAAAATTCAGCAATGATAATTACAAGCAATAATAAATAATCTTAACTTTGTTTGTTGTTAAGCGCAAATTTCCACAACGGGATATCTGTATTTTGCCCACTACTGGTATCGAAACCCAATTTTAACTGTATTAAGTACCCACATTTACGGCTGAGCCAGTGGGGGCGCTTAAGTATAAGTAACAGGTAAACCACAAAAGCTTCTATGACTACTCTGACCTTGGTCATCGACGCTTGATTGGGTTAATTAATTTTCTTTTTTTCTAATCGCTGTTTAATTATTTTTGAATATATGTATATGAAATTGTTGTAGTGTAGTCTCAAAGGCGCGCAAGCTATTTAAAATTGTTTTTATTTTGATTATTTCATGTTTATGTAACATACATGTACATAATTTTTCTTCGTTTCATAGCCTCAATTAGCAGTAGCAAGTTTTGGTCTATCATACCTTTATTTAGCGCAACGAAAAACATCATTTGTACCTAATAGTAACACTGCCTAACAGACAGCTGTACACGTTATAATTATAATAGAGGTAAATTAAAAGTGAAATTTCAGTTGAATATAATTTGAATTAAAGCATTTAAATACTTGCAAGTAAGTTGATTTTTCTGATCAGAGATTATTTTTTGATTGCCAGTTTGCACTTTTTTTTCGTTTTACGAATTGAAGTTTAGACTCAGAGATTAGAAAACTCTGAAAGTGAAAAGTAGATTCGACTTTTTTTTTTACATTTAATTTTATACTTATAGAAAGTTGCTGACGCTGAGAGTGAGACTTGTAAATGTAACTTGTAAGAATAGGTAATAAAGTGCCTTATTTGTACAAGGTAGTACTAGTAGTATAATACACATATGATATAGACAATTTAAATACTATATAGAATAAGTTGATTAATTATTGTTAAGATTATTTATTTTAGTTGTCATTTGTAACTACTGTGTTTAATAATGTACTAGTACTACCCCACAAATATGTTTTTAGATTTAAAATGAAGTATTGTTTTATCTTGGTAAACTGAGGTAAGATTCTGAGAGCAGGATTAGAAGATCCCACAACCTATCAGTCTCCATATATTATAGATATATATTAGATACTGTAATATATATTATAGATATATGTTAGATACTGTAATATATATTATAGATATATGTTAGATACTGTAATATATATTATAGATATATATTAGATACTGTAATATATATTATAGATATATATTAGATACTGTAATATATATTATAGATATATATTAGATACTGTAATATATATTATAGATATATATTAGATACTGTAATATATATTATATATATATATATTAGATACTGTAATATATATTATAGATATATATTAGATACTATAATATATATTATAGATATATATTAGGTACTATACTAAGAGCAGGAGAAATTACCACAAAAAATCTGGACAAATATTAATTTATACACTTCTGTCTAGCTTCTAAGCAATTCATGTCAACTGTGTTTTGAAATGCCAGTAACATACTCAGTTAACTGAATAAGTTATTCAAGTCATCAAAGTAATGCTCTGTCGTTAGTAGTAAAGCTAGTATAATTTTGGGATATGCTTATAGACATATTATTACAAGTCAAAAGAAGTAATTATCAAGTTATAAAACACTAATTAGGCCTTACTTAGAATATTGTGTATATTTTTGTTCTTATTCAAGAAAGGATGCTGATTTTTTGTTGTTGAGAAAAGAAAGGTAAGAGGTAATATTATTGAAGTTTACAGTATTATCCAGGGAATCAACAGGATTGAAACCTCTGATTTCTTTGTGCTAAATGAGAGGGAACAAATTTAAGATTTGGAAATTACATGATAGGTTACAGTTAAGATAATTTTCTTAACAGGGTGATTGACTGACATACTGAATGAGTTATCATTGATGGTAATGGAGGCCAGGTTTTTCCTAAAAAGTAAAAGATGGGTTTAAATATTTACTTGTATTAAGTTTGGATGTGTGGGTGCAAAAACAGCCTTAAAGGACAAAATGGCCTTTTCTTTGTAGGGTACAGTATTAAAACAATGGAAATTTGACATCTGTTTCCTCACTGTATCAAATTTTCTGTGTTTCACACTGTATGCCACTTAAATACCTAATGTTTGATAAATGTAGTTTTCATTGTAAATATATGCAAATATATGTTTGCTGACACTGAAAGGACTCTAGTGTCTCAGTGGTAGGTCTTATGATTAGCACACCAAAAAACCGAGTTTTGATACTCATGTTTTTAACAACAACAAACACACTGAAAGGATTAGTCATATATTATTGTACACTAAACCTGTCCAATAGTCAGTTTCAAAGTAATGATTAGACCATGAGGTAAATACATGTTTAAATGTCTTGTGGTCAAACTGTTAGACCAGTGTATTACAAGCGAGATGGTTGTATTACACTTTTGTGTATACAACATTTCTTGGTAGCATTTTTGTTGTGTTAATTGATTTGCTGCTCTAATAAAAATCTATAATAAGACTTTGTAAGTCAATCATTTTTGAGTTTTTCAAAACAAAAAAAGAAAGCTGAGCAAATATTTATTATAAATGATTGCATGAGTGTATTTGAGTTTTTGTGAGGCAGAGTAATTCATGTGTGTGTCGCGTATTCAGCCATGATCGTCTAGAAAGGTTTCTTTAAATACATGTAATTAATTTCTTCATTAATTTTTATTTTATATATTTTCAATATAAAATGAAAAAAATGTTAGTTTAAATATGTTATGTTTTTATGACGGTAGATTTACGTAAAAATGATGAAGGTACATTATTATGGTCATCTCTTCACATACCAAAACATTAGAATTAAACTAAATACTTTCCTTCACATCTATGTAATTATGATGTGAATATTCATCAATAAATAAGTATTATATTAAAAAGTTTTTCATTCTATGAATATCATGTCTTTTTATTCCCTTATATTGATAAGTTGTATATATATGGAAGTTCTAATTTCTGTGGATGTGATAAAAACTGGTGTTTATACATCTGGTTAGAGTAGTTCAAAAAGTAAATTTTTATGTATTGTATTTTTTACACAATGTTGTAAAGGTATTTGTTATTTAGTTTTGGCAGTATTTATTCACACAGTATTAATTGCCATGTTTATATTCCTTATTTAAAAACTTAGCAGACTTGTTCTGCATATAATGAGCTTAATTGTGATTCAATGCACCTATTTAAGAATGTTTGTTTAAATAGCTTTGTTATTGTATTTAAATTATTGTATACATATATCTTTTACAGTAATGGAATATAAGGCTGCAGATGAAGCTTTTGTAATACATGAGCATTGTTTCAGCTGTATCAAAGTTGCAAAGTGTACTGTACGTCCTCGTCCTGGAGAAAGCTGTGCTATAATCACGTGTGAGCTGAAATGTGGAGCATGCTTTCATGGCTGCAAGAAAGGAGAACACCAGCATTTGTGCATCAATGAGAAAGTAATAGCTTATTGCTAAAAAAAAAATCAGTACAAATACTTGTATATTAACATATCTTAATGTAGCAGCATAACATAATTTTTTTATTATATCTGAATATTTCTATAAGATGTATAATACTTATAAAAAACATAAAGTTGCTACAACAGAGAGTTCAAAAGAAATTGTCTGTTTATGTGGTTCAAATCTAAAATCTATACATCTGCTTAACACTTGGGAATAAGTTTTCAGTAATAATTTATGTATTAATAACCATACAAAGTTATCATTTTTACATGTCAATGGAAAATATACTCAGGCTTTTTCCAAGGTTTTGATAATTCTGTATTGTAATATAACAAATGTATCACTTCACAGTTTTATTTTTCTGTTTGTGTCGGTGACATTTTGCTTTTAAGTATAATTGCGCACACATTAAGACATTTTTTGTAGGTTCCATGTATAAATTCAGTGAATGGTTGTCCAGTGTGGATGTACCGACGTCATTTAGGGCCACATCTAGAGAAATGTCCTGCAAGTGTTGTCCACTGTACTATGGAGTGGAATCGATGGCCACTTGAAATCAAGGACAGAGACTTTTCTCATTGTCCGCACCACCATAAGACCCAGATGCCACTTGATGAGGCTCTTGCACTGAGAGATCAGCGTATGCTTAATCAGTATTGGTGTACACCAAGGAAGACTCGTCGATCCTTGAGGAATCCATTAACAAGAAAATATCCAGCTGTTCCTCTACATGTAAGTTAGCTTCAGTATCTAAGTTTGAAACATTTTTAATAAGGTTTTGTAATTTTTATTAGAAAATAATGGATGAACTAGGATGGTAAGTGCTATATGGCAGCTGTATTAGTTATACAAAACAGATGAATGTGTAAACTAGTGTGGTTAGCTTACATATTTTATAGAAGTAATTGTATTGAAATATCATTTCTCATATGTAAAAAAAAAGGCTTCCGTACCTTTCTGTCAGCAAGTCCAGTATAACATCAGATATGGTACTTCCCTCTATTCACAAGATTAGCTTTTCCCGTTTTGTGCTGCCCTCTATACGGAAACTTTTTTATAATGCATACCACAAGCCTTCCGCACCCTCCTATTGGAATGAAAGATTCTAACATGTCTCTCATGCAAATCATCATGTGTCATTTCTCCACCAATAGGAGAGCATTACTATCACAAATATTTGCTTGTTTGTTTGGTATCAAGCATAAATTCGTTACCACTTCGGGTACATCTCATTTGTCTGATGCTATACTTCAGGCCGCAGGTACAGGCGACCTGTCGGGGGATATATCAGCCTTTATTTGCAGGGAGATTAAGTGTTATATGGGACAACTTTTGTCCCCTGCTGTTGCTCCTCTTCTTCCTGAGCCTTTTGAACCTGGTCAGGCTGATGAGGATTTTGGTCATTTGTTTCCCCCCTCCATGCCTACCCAAACTCTACCTGAGGATTCTGTTTGGCCCTCATTGGCTTTCTCAGATTTTATTTCTCAGGTGTGTGATGTTTTGTCTATTGCTCCTGCTTCTTATGATCCACATCCTTGCCTAGTACATGATTCTGCCTCCCAACCTTATTTAGTTTTTCCCTCCTCCCCTGATACTCAAGTTCACACTGAGCATTTTGCCTCCCAGTTAGGTGACAGCGTTAGTATGCCTTGTCCCCCATGGGCCTTGGATCAGTAGACCCTCGCTTATCATAAGGTGGACTGTCTATATATCTGGACCAAAAATTGTTGGGTTTAGTTTTGGTTGTTTGGGGGCATGGGACCCGACTCTTCTGTTCATCCTACCAATGCCCAGTATTCCTGCCTTTATTATCTTACCCTGACGACTTTTACAGTACCTTTCCTTGAGCCATCTCCTGTCTGAGGCTCTTCACAGGAACCCTGAGGGGTTTCTGGAGATGTCCTCTACCTCCTCACTGGTCTGCCTGTCATCTTTGGCTCTGGCCCTGCAAACGAGGTTTATTTGTTGTTGGGATCTTTTGGGTTGTGATGCCATATTGTCATGGGCCTATCTCCTGGCTGTTTTTCTATGGGACCTTCATATGGCCTGGTTTTTAGAAACCTTTCGTGTTTGACACGACCCCAGATTCTTTGGTGTTGAGGATGGCTTTGGTTCAACAACAATTCACCCTTTCCCATCTGGTGGCACGTTTGTCCCAGTCAGAGCTGAGCGTGACACCAATTCCTGTTTCCTGACCCTCCCCTTCCCAGCTCTTGCCTGTTCCTCCTCCCTATGGTGCTACTGTTTTTCATGACAATGCATGGTCCCTTGGATACTCCTATAACCCTTCCTTCCTACATTGTGGATGATCTAAGATGTTGATAGGACAAGGCTCATACATCGATGGGTGTCCGTGGCCAGATTTACATCTTTTTACGGGTGCATCCTTTCAGGGCTGGGGTGTGTGGGTCGATCACCAGGAGGCTTCAGGTTGTTGGTCTGTCAGGGAATGTTCTCTTCATACCTTGCTGTTCGTTGGGCTTTGGATCACTATCTTCCCGTCTCCAGAGATCATCTGGTCATGATCCATTCTCACAATTTTACAGAGGTGGCTCATATCAATCACCAAGGTGGCACCTGGTTGAGATCCCTGTGTTTTCTAACATTGGATCTTCTCTTTTAGGCCCATGATCAAATATTCATATGATGGCATGTCACATACCGGGTGCTTTCAATCTTGTGGCAGATCATCTTTCCCGACCCAACCATGTTTACTGTATGGGGATGGTGGCCCCTTCATCCCCTTGTTTTTTGGTGGCTTTGTGATTGGTGGGGTATTTCTCATATCAATGCATTTGCCACCACCCTCAATCACCAGTTATCTTTGTTTTCATCCCCACTTCCCCATCCTTAGGCTTTGGCTATAGATGCCTTCAGCCAGGATTAGTCAAACAAGTTCCTTTATGTTTATCCTCCTATCTGATTACTACATTGGGTAGACTCCCTCATCCATACCACTCTGAGCAAAGTCCTTCTGATTGCTTCTTACTGGCCTGCTCAACCATGGTTTCCTCAATTACTCCAGCTACAGTTGTTCCCTCCTGTCCCTCTTCCTTTAATCTCTAACCTTCTTTGTCAACCTTAGCTACCAGTTCTACATCCTGCACCTTACGTCCTCCATCTTCATGCCTGGTTTTTGTCAGTCCCTTGGCGAGAAGATCTGGTTTTTCACGTCGAGTGGTATTTCATTTAGCTCATTTCATTCATCCTTAATCCATGTCTGTGTATTCTGGGCCCTGGCTAAGGGTATCCCGACTTCTTGTCCTGTGGTTGCTGGTATCTCCGAGTTTCTTAGATGGCTTTTTGAGAAAGGGTCTTTGGTCTCTCTGATATCAGATTATTGGGTAGCCCTATCCCATACTTTATGTTTTCTTGTTACTGCAGGGTCTTTCTTTTCCCTGTCCTTGCCATTTCGATCCATTCTTTTTGGATCCATCAGCTGCCTAAGTGTTTGGTACTTCAAGATTATGACATTAATGTGGTATTCCATTCCCTTACTTTACCTCCGTTTGAGCCCATTGCCTCATTCTCGTTGTTTTACCTGCCCTTAAGGCATATTTCCTTCTCCTCTTGGCCTGCGAGTGTCATCGATCAGATCTGTTTGCTATTGATGTCACTTGCACATTGTACCACCAAACCTATCTTCTACTTTATCCAGATCATTCCTTCCTTCCCAACACCACAGCGGCTTGTGATGGTAACTCCATCTTTGTGCCCATTTCCCTTCCCTCTATTTCTCATCTCGAACCTCATCTTGATCTGGATAGACTTCTATGCCCAGTGCATGCCCTTTTTTGTTATATTGCCTAAATAACTTTCTTCAGGGGTTCCTGTTCCCATATCTTTATCCTGTGGCAACCCTCTTCCTCTGGGGATCTTTCTCCCTTTACCCTTACCAGTTGGGTTTGTCATTTTATCCAGTTGGCTTATTCCTCTGTCCCCTTCCCAACGTGCTTTGTTTGGTGTTACCTCCCATCAAATCTGACACCTCACCTACCGTTTTTTTCTTGTCTTCGTCAGTCTTTGGAGGAAATTCTGCAGTCGGGCATGTGAACTATCCCTCAGACGTTCATCTCCCATTACTTACATCTTGTCGAGGTTTCTGCTTCCTCTGGGTATCACCTACCACCTGTGGCTATGACACTAGGAAAGTCTTTATTAATGCTTTATTTTCTTTCAGGGGCTCTTGCTTCGAATTTTGTCTCTTGGATCCCACTCTGTGGTGAGTGGTGCATGACCTGTATTCTTGACATACACAAACAACTCCACACTGTATGCCATGTTGATTCACATGGTCTTTCTATTGCTCTGCATGCTCAACTTTGAGATGGGGTGTTTCGCAAGATCACTAGATGGTCATTAACCTCATGATATTTGCCTCATAAATAGGCCTATCCTGGACCATACCACCCATGGGCAGCATGGGTAAAGCATAAGAGGATAGCTACCCATCCTTGCCATGCCTCGATTGAATAAATTGGTATGGATTGTGTGATCACCCATTGCACTGTCTCGGGTGTAGCCGTTCCTCTGATTCTCCAACACTCCAACAATTCCAAGCCGCTGGGGTGGTTGACCATTGAGGCATCCTGCTGGATGGGTTCCACATAGATGGCTATAACCATTCAGTTCAGAGTAGGGTGGTGGTGTTCTGCCAGTGTTGAAGGCATAAAAATCTTCCAGATTTAATGACACATACTGTAGAGTGAGACGTCTAAATGAAGTTCACCCCTTTGATTTGGTGCCCTCATCCTACCCTCTCGTGGGCTGGTTTGGATATCGAATGAACCAGTTAACTTAAGTCCTCACACAGGTTTTGGGTTGTCCATATTCCTTCCTTGATTCTTCCTTCAGCGTTGTGGGTCAAGGAGGATATACATGGGATGTTTCCATTACTGTCCTGGGCACTCCCTCATTCTCTCTCTTGCAATGGGATATTATTGACCTTTGGACATTTCAGACAAGTTTCAGAGTCATTGGAGTTGAGTGCATGCGATGGACTTCTCTCGGATACCGGATGACACATTCCTGGATCTCTGGCTTAATGCTAATTCTGTATCATGCCCTGGAGTCTGTGTTTTTTCACATCCACAATTTTGGAGTTTGATGTGAAGCCGTTATGATCCTCATCCTACCCTCGTACAGATGTTGGTACCCAGTGAGGAGATTTTGAATATAGTTGATGATACATCACACACTAGCCATTATACACCATGAGATGCATCCTCCATTATCTACTTTACTTCTGTGGGATTGAATTTCTATACTTTTCTGGTCGAGATAATTTTCCTGAATTATTCTCTCTCACTCTAATGTGCTCCATTCCTTTTCTGCCATGTTTGTTCCTTGCTGTTCATGGTGAGGAGATATCTGGTTAAGAAGTGGTGCAGTGCCCCTCCTCAGATCATCTGATCTGTTTCTCTCATTCAGAGAACTATCCTTCAGATACTTTCAGGATGTATGTCTGTTTTTCCTTGCACCAGTCACTTCTTCTTTTCAATGTGGGATTCTAGCTGACCTTGTGAGAAGAGGGAAGTACCGTATCAGAATTTATAATTTTTCTATACTGAAAATATATTTCTGATAGGTACTTTCCCTGCTCATACTTCCCACCTTCCTCCCCACAATCTTCTGGTGCTTACGTCTTCTGCCAAACTTTGAAGTGAGGGTTTGGTAGTGGTGTATAGAGGGAATCACATGTGTCATGTGATGGTAGTGCTCTTTTATTGGTGGAGAGATGATGCTTGATGATTTGCTTGAGAGACATATTGGCATCTTTGATTCTAATAGGGGGTTGCAGAAGACTTGTGACAAATTTTAGGAAAAAGAGTTCACATATAGAGGGCAGCACAAAACAGAAAAACTAATCTTGTGAGTGGAGAGAAGTACCAATTGGAAATACATTTTCAGTATTAGGAAGATTATAACTTTCTAGCTGGAAGTTTATAACAGTGTTTTAGTGAATCCATCATTATATACTAAGGAGGCAATCAGAGCAGTAATTAATGTCATCAATAATATGTATCTTGTTGTAAAAAATATTAACTGTTTTTAACATGAATGTGTGTCTACAAGTTACTAAGTTAGTAAAAAATATATTTTCTTTGGTAGAGAAAATATGAAACCAAAATTTTGGGGAATTCTATTGGTGTATTACTGTTTAATAATGTAGCATTTAACTGTAAAGTAGACCTATTGGGGTGGAAATTTTCTTGTAATATTCACAAAAAATTAAAAAAAGAAAAGCGATTGTCAATAAAAACAATACATGTTTATATGACTCCAAAAGTTTAAAGATAATTGAAATACAAAAGGAATACAATAGTATTTGGAGATAAAACAAAAACTGAAGAGTTTTGACAATTAAACAAAAATAATCCAAAATATATATAAATATATTATGGTAACGTAAAATATAATGGAGAAAAAATTGAATGGAAATAGAAAATTTATTGACTGAACATTGTATAAACTATTAGTAAACTTTCAGGTTTCACATGGATGAACATTGTATAAACTATTAGTAAACTTTCAGGTTTCACATGGATGAACATTGTATAAACTATTAGTAAACTTTCAGGTTTCACATGGATGAACATTGTATAAACTATTAGTAAACTTTAAGGTTTCACATGGATGAATATTGTATAAACTATTAGTAAACTTTAAGGTTTCACGTGGATGAACATTGTATAAAGTATTATAAAATTTAAGGTTTCACATGGATGAACATTGTATAAAGTATTAGTAAAGTTTAAGGTTTCACATGGATGAACATTGTATAAAGTATTAGTAAAGTTTAAGGTTTCACATAGATGAATATTGTATAAAGAATTAGTGAAGTTTAAGGGCTCACATGAATGAACATTGTATAAAGTATTAGTAAAATTTAAGGTTTCACATAGATGAACATTGTATAAAGTATTAGTAAAGTTTAAAGTTTCACATGAATGAACATTCTATAAAGTATGAGTAAAGTTCAAGGTTTCACATCAGTGAAGATTGTATAAGGCATTAGTAAAGTTTAAGGGCTCACATGAATGAACATTGTATAAGGTATTAGTAAAGTTTGAAGTTTCACATGAGTGAACATTGTATAAAGTATTAGTAAAGTATAAGGTTTCACATGAATGAACATTCTATAAAGTATGAGTAAAGGTCAAGGTTTCACATCAGTGAACATTGTATAAGGCATTAGTAAAGTTTAATGTTTCACGTCAGTGAACATTGTATAAAGTATCAGTAAAATTTAAGGGCTCACATGAATGAACATTGTATTAAGTATGAGTAAAGTTTAAGGTTTCACATGAATGAACATTACAGTATTTAACACTCATATATATCTAGTACTTACAATGATTGACAAAGTTGTACCTGGTTGCAGCCATACAGAGGAACACATGAACCTGAGAGTGCACAAGACAGTACTCAGACCTCTCGAGGAGTATCAGATGATGAGAGTGATGCTCCTTGGGAAATGAGAAAGGCCCCTCCTGGTCTACAACGAAGTGTTTGTAGTGAGCTGTATCGTGCCACACGGGAGACAACAGAGATGCTGTCAGCAGCATTGAATGTCATTACTAACCACCAATCTCATCAAAGTGCAGATGAGACTTGGAAGGACAGTAACTGTTATTCATCAGACATTGAAGTTTGGAATGGTAGTTCTGTGGAGAACAAGGAAAATGTAGTGAGTTCAGATTTGCAAGTAACTTTTTTATTATTTTATTTTGAGATTATATTTTAAAGAGGCATGTGTATAACTTGTGTAATCAGAACATTCAATTTTCAGTCAAATTTAACCAAACTATAGGAATGTTCATTAAGCAAACGTTAGAGTTTTTTCTTTTTTTTTATGTCATTAAGTGTCTCATTATGGACTCAGTCCCACAGACTGACCTCGTAATCATTTTTGTACTTGTTATAGTTTTTGTATTTGAGTTTCACTTGTTACGTATTGGAATTTCAAATGGTCTGAAATTGAGTTAATTGATAAATTTAAATTTAGTAGTTAAATTGTACTTTGGATTTAGTACTTAAGTAAAAGCCGATATGTAGTCAGTTTATGATATTTGCCAACAAGATTGATACACATCGTCTTCATTTTTAACACAAATACGTTTTAATATACACACAACAATACAATTTACAATAATAGTTATTACAAATAATGAATTATAAACAAAAGTTTCACAAACTTACAAGCAATATAAAGTCTTTTTTCTAGTTTGGAACTTCCTTGATATCTTATTGAGGGCTCACGATGAGCGAGTTGATTACGAGTTGATATAGGTACAATTCATTTAGTAGGGAGCTATCTAGCCATGTAGTTCTTGCTGATCACATGCCAATTACAGGTCAAGTTTCACCAGTGACGTTAGGTAATGTTTTCATAAAATTACTAATGTCCGATGAGAATCTACTGAAGTTAAATGGTTTGTAATGTTCGAAATTTATAAATATTCTTGGTCAAATACCTGAAGTTTCCAACTAATGTCCGGTGAGAATCCACTGAAGTTAAATGGTTTTTAATGTTCGAGAATTTATAAATATTCTTGGTCAAATATCTGAAATTTTCCGATTGATAAGCATTATACCAATTACAGTTATAGCTTCCGAAGTTTATAGCATACTGACTATAGTGAACTAATAATAGTCACTCTCTCTTTCGGCACATTACGTTGGTTATATTTGTAGCCATGTGGAGGCATTATAGAAATTTCAGTTTTATGTAACAATACAAATTTAAATGTTTACGTACACATATATATTGTTGATTTTTATTTTCAAGAATCTTCTACAAGTTTGGAGAATAGGCAGGAGTTTCGCAATACATATTTAACAGTATAAGCTATGTATGTTTCTAAATATAAATTTAATTTAAACAAACGTTGATATTAAAATAAATATATAATAACAAATTCATTACATAGTTACTATTAATAAAAGCAAAATTACACTTCAGTCTAATGATTTTGTTATTAATATTACCAGCACAAAGGAGTAAAATAAATCTTGCAGAAACTGAAACTTGAAAAATAACAGAATTTATACTCTATAACATTTTATATTTTAGTGCAGATTCCAAGTCCATGTTGCAAATATTCCTGATGGTTGCTTGGACAAACATAGTTTTTTGCAGGAAGTAACTGAAAGAGATGATGTTGATGCTGATAGGTGGAGTGAAGCCAGTAGTGGAAGTAATGATAGTATTGAACAAAATGGAGAAATTATAAACATGCCAATTGGTGAAAGCAGCTATGGAACTCTCTTTGTAAATGATACCATTGTGAGTGAAATATCTTCAGCTCCTCTGACAGATTATGCCAGAAAGAATGTAAAACCTTCCTTGGTGGTTCTTCCATCCTCGTCTCAGTTCTCTACATTTACTCCAACTGCTAACATCAGTAATTTGAGCTTAGATTTAAATTTGGAGTCTTTGACAAGATATCAAGCCAAACCAAAAGCAATGTACACTTTCCTTTGTGCACAGGTAAAATATCAACTGAACTTTTTTCCAGTTGTATGTAACTAACAATCCTCTCAGTTAAAGAATGATTTTAAAATATCAACAGATTTAAGTTTTTTCATTTTTGTACATATTAATGCACAAAAACTAGGTTCAGAAGGTACTTATCTTTCATAAAAAATTATTTTTACTGAGTAAAAATTTTTTAAGCACTTTATTAGCTATTAGCTTTCTAATATAGCACCTATATAAAAATGTTATATGTCGTGGAATATACGTTGTTACTGTTGCATGTCTACTTCAACTTAAGTTTTTCTGGCATTTTTCTATTTTATATAAAGAATACTACTTGCAGTTTTGAAAAAATAGAGCACATAAAAAACAATGAATATAAAAAATATTGTGATAATTGTTTTAAGTATTTCTTTTGTGAAATAATAAATTTACACTTGACATTTTTGCTTAATAGTTCTTTCAGTCTCTGAAGAGATGCCAAGCTGATAAGTTTGTTGTTGTTAGAACAACTTTTTTCTTAAATATATCTTTTCCATAGGATTGGATCAAAGTATAATTATCCTCCAGTTATAAGATAGATAAAGAAACATGATTTTACTTACAACTATAAACACAGAAAAAAAGAGAAATAACATAACCCGATACTTGCCATGGCCATTGTGAGGGCAAAATCATTTGTGAATTGAAAAAATGATAGAGAACTTATCTTTTATTGGATTTCAGATTTTATTTTTGTAAATAGTAGCATAACATTCAATTATTTGTACAAAATTATATTAGTTAATGAAGTTTAAAAGGAATTTAATGAAAAAATTCCTAAAATATGTTTTAAACTGTAAATAAGTGCCCTCTAAGAAGAATTTTTTTTTTCAAAAATTTTTTAAGACATTTCCTTTCACTTCAGCACTGGTCCTGCCATCTATGAT